ATCCAAAGATTGAATACTGGTCTTTGAACGATTCTAGTACTAAGACTTTGGATACTTGTATCTAAAGGTATCGTAAGACATCTTCACCCAAGGTTGACTGCATAATTTGAGGAAATCTTTGGCTCTTTCCAAATTCTGTTTTGGGATTTTTGAGACCTTTCTCTTTGCTAACAATACACCTTTCCAAATAACTGTAGCACCTAAGTCTAACTCTTGCATCCAAACTCATTTTCTTTCTAATTACCCTTTTTCAGAATATTGAGCAATCAATTTATACCCACTCTACATTCATGAAATTGCCTCAACTTCACCACAAGATGAAATTCTCGTTTCTATAATAAATTCGCTTAGAGAGAACCACATAGATTGTTCACCAAAAGCAAACCACAGTTCATTATTTGATGTGAGTATCCTTCTTTGGAGAAGATGATGAATAAGATATCTTGAAAATTGAATTCCACCTATTGCCATATTTACTATTGATCCCTAAAATACTATTTCATGTGATTTATGGCTGCAGTAGCTTTATAAAGTTAAATAAAAACTGTTCTTATTATAAAACATGATTGGCATGAATTTGAGTAGTAAAAACCCTTTTTGTCATTTTTATGCAAGTTGATCAAGTATCATGCAAATGTGCTACGTGCGAGGTCAGAAGGAAACTTGTTTGTGCCTCCGCCAGCTTTTCAAAATGTCACTATTCACTTTATTCTATATCTTGCTTTAATTTTCTTAACAAGATATAATGTGAACTAATCTGAGGATTAAGTTAGATTCCAGTTTTTTAGTTGATGGCTTCGAGATCCATTGCGATATTTTTATGATTTTTCTCTAAATGATAAATAGATTTTATTTGTATCTGTTCGTATTTATGATAATTTCGATTTTTATTATTTTATTATATAAATTTTGAAATTGTTTATTGAAACTCGCTAGTCGCAATTGATTTTTTTAATGTGTTATCAATGATGTGAGTCCTACATTATTATCTATTTTCTTTATCTCGTGTAATGATGCTGTTGCCAATTTCAAACCATGGTTAAACAAAAGCTAACTACAAGTATGCACTTTAATACCTCAAGATTGTGAATACTAGATTACATGGAGACCTGCATATATCTACATTGAAAAGAAAACCAATGAATAAAAGTAAAAAAATTATGTCAATTATCACATCGTGGTTGAAGATACTTGAATTATCAATTCTATAGTATAGATTAGAGTTAAGGATTGTGTTTCGTAATACATGGACTAGTTATGTACAAACGGTCACATCACTTCTTAGTTCTCAGGTCAGATGATTTGCGTACGAAACTTTAGAAACAATATTCATACACCTCAAATCATAAACTCTAATCTAGGGTATTTCGTGTTCAGTAAGGAGGAAACTTGTCCCTCACCTCTGCGACATCAGTCCGATGATGTTCCTTTAATCTTATCTTGTTTCTTTTAGAATATTATCTGGAGTATTTGTTTCTTATATCGAAGTATGTGTGAGATAGAAAATATGCACGTATTTTAACCTCAACAAAATGTGTCGTGCTTTTCTCTTATTCAAAATAACATCGTTTTGTGTTTCCATATTAAAACCACCAAACTAATGTCATTTTGAGACATACCGAGCATACCTTATTGCTAATGTGTCACCTATATGTCATCTGACGCATTGAGAGTTAATGGTTGACTAAACCACCATTTAGGTTAACACTGTTTTACGCACCAATTATCTAGATAGGGTAGGTAGTTTATTTGAATTTGGTTGTGTTTTAGGATAGTAAAAAGCACAACTCAATTATATAGCTATAAAAGGATACAACGTGAAATAATTAGAGGATTAAGTTACAATCGAATTGATTCTGTGGTTGATAGCTTCTAATTTATTTTCTTCGTTCTTTAGTTGCTAAATATTCTTCGTTTTCGTTCTGATTCGAAAAATTTCAAATTTATTATCTGAGTTTATATACATAGAATTTTAGTTTGTTTATTACGACTTGGCATTCTTTACTTTTACACTGTTGTAAAATATGTGAGTGAAGACAACACAGTGATATGTTGTTGCCGCTAAAACAATTTTCACTTTTCAATTCTCTTTCCCTTGGTTATAATGAAGCCTTTGCACCAAAAACTAGCCGAAAGTGGTGCAATAGAATACTAATCTCCAAGACGAATGTGAAATAAATGATGAGTTACTTCAAATCCTTTAGGACTACAGAGCTGAGAGGTATAGCTTTTTGCAATTGTTTATGTAACTCATCGCAGCTAAGTTTCATCTTTTGAACAGCATAATATGGACAACATAAAATTTCTTTTTTTTGTCAACAAATTTTTCTTTTTGGTGCAACAACAACATACAAGTAATTATCAATTTTCTAATACAATTGTGCTCAACACACAAAGTCCATTACAAAAAAATGGATTCGTCTACAATCTAGTTAAATATATAATAATTATTCGTATATTAGATAATAAATAAAAATATAGTTTCAATGTCTAAAAAGTTATTGTATTTGAGTTTTTTCTTTTATTTTATATATAAATGTATTTGCGAATTCTCATGTATGAGTTAATGTGTAATACTGATTAAGTTCTTCATGAATATTGTCCTAAATATCTTGTTTTTTTTTAAATAGTTGGATGCTGTCACAAAAATGTTTAAAACAGTTGAATCTTTCTTAATATATGATAAAATGTTTTGATTCTTTTTTAATATTTGCTAAATTTATTCAAACCAGGAAAACTATTTTACAACTTGTGCAACTATTTTTGATTATATCTAAAATATATTAAAGAAGAATCATTGAAGGTCATTTTTGCTTAGGTATCATCATCACATTAATTTTTAACTTTTTTAATTGAGAGAATTACTTAAAATGACCTAAAAGTTGGATTTTTTAAAATATATAGACATCATATTGTATATTTAGCAAAACTAATTCAAATAGGTAGTGAAATTATAGCTCAGTCATTTGTGACTAAACAAAAAACGTTCGCCACAATTACTGTTTTATTCTTGGAATGTCTACTTATGGAGTCTACTATTATAGACTACCAAAGAAGTCTACTATTCAATTCATCTTGAAAATTGAATTCCGCCTATTGCCATCTTTACTATTGATCCCTAAAATACTATTTCATGTGATTTATGGCTGCAGTAGCTTTATAAAGTTAATAAAAACTGTTCTTATTATAAAACATGATTGGCATGAATTTGAGTAGTAAAAACCCTTATTGTCATTTTTATGCAAGTTGATCAAGTATCATGCAAATGTGCTACGTGCGAGGTCAGAAGGAAACTTGTTTGTGCCTCCGCCAGCTTTTCAAAACGTCACTATTCACTTTATTCTATATCTTGTTTTAATTTTCTTAACAAAATATAATGTGAACTAATCTAAGGATTAAGTTAGATTCCATTTTTTTAGTTGATGGCTTCGAGATCCATTGCGATATTTTTATGATTTTTCTCTAAATGATAAATAGATTTTATTTGTATCTGTTAGTATTTATGATAATTTCGATTTTTATTATTTCATTATATAAATTTTGAAATTGTTTATTGAAACTCGCTAGTCGCAATTGATTTTTTTTAATGTGTTATCAATGATGTGAGTCCTACATTATTATCTATTTTCTCTATCTCGTGTAATGATGCTGTTGCCAATTTCAAACCATGGTTAAACAAACGCTAACTACAAGTATGCACTTTAATACCTCAAGATTGTGAATACTAGATTACATGGAGACCTGCATATATGTACATTGAAAAGAAAACCAATGAATAAAAGTAAAAAAATTATGTCAATTATCACATCATGGTTGAAGATACTTGAATTATCAATTCTATAGTAGAGATTAGAGTTAAGGATTGTGTTTTGTAATACATGGACTAGTTATGTACAAACGGTCACGTCACTTCTTAGTTCTCAGGTCAGATGATTTGCGTACGAAACTTTGGAAACAATATTCATAAACCTCAAATTATAAACTCTAATCTAGGGTATTTCGTGTTCAGTAAGGAGGAAACTTGTCCCTCACCTCTGCGACATCAGTCCGATGATGTTCCTTTAATCTTATCTTGTTTCTTTTAGAATATTATCTGGAGTATTTGTTTCTTATATCGAAGTATGTGTGAGATAGAAAATATGCACGTATTTTAACCTCAACAAAATGTGTCGTGCTTTTCTCTTATTCAAAATAACATCGTTTTGTGTTTCCATATTAAAACCACCAAACTAATGTCATTTTGAGACATACTGAGCATACCTTATTGCTAATGTGTCACCTATATGTCATCTGACTCATTGCGAGTTAATGGTTGACTAAACCACCATTTAGGTTAACACTGTTTTACGCACCAATTATCTAGATAGGGTAGGTAGTTTATTTGAATTTGGTTGTGTTTTAGGATAGTAAAAAGCACAACTCAATTATATAGCTATAAAAGGATACAACGTGAAATAATTAGAGGATGAAGTTACAATCGAATTGATTCTGTGGTTGATAGCTTCCAATTTATTTTCTTCGTTCTTTAGTTGCTAAATATACTGATTCGGAAAATTTCGAATTTGATTATTTGAGTTTATATACATAGAATTTTAGCTTGTTTATTGCGACTTGGCATTCTGTACTTTTACACTGTTGTAAAATATGTGAGTGAAGACAACACAGTGATATGTTGTTGCTGCTAAAACTATTTTCACTTTTTAATCCTCTTTCCCTTGGTTATAATGAAGCCTTTGCACCAAAAGCTAGCCGAAAGTGGTGCAATAGAATACTAAACTCCAAGACGAATGTGAAATATATGATGAGTTACTTCAAATCCTTGAGGACTATAGAGCTGAGAGGTGTAGCTTTTTTCCCTTGTTAGCGCTTGGTTTTGCACCTTAATTAGCTCAATTTCCATTTATACAATATGACTCTTAATGATTTCTGTCGAATTGAATAATCTGATGGTATTTGTTTTCATGGTAGATAAAATTGATAGGAGTGTTGTCTTATAAAGATTGAAAGAACTCTTCAAAGGGAAACAAAAACTGTTTTTGGGTTTCAATCTATTCTTGCTAATTGGCTTCCAAATAAACCTTGAGGGTGGCCAAACTTCACCAAAGAAGCCTGATACGAAGTTAGAGGTAGCTATTAGCTTTGTCAACAAGGTCAAGGTAGAGATTTTGATTAATAATATCCTGTTTTTTCTCTTTGCTACTTGCATATAACGTACGTATCATTTGGTTTTTTTCCTGCATGCAAGGTTTATGGACGATGATCGGTCATACAATTCATTTTTAGACACCTTGAAATGTATCGAAAGTCCATTACAGATGTCTATGAAAAGGTTCGTACTTGCGGTATAAATTTTTTCATTGCTTTTGTTGTCCTTCTTGTCTTATTTTGATATGTATTATCTTGTAGGTGGCTATCCTTTTCCATGACCATCATGATTTGCTTGTTGAGTTCACTCATTTCCTCCCTCAGTAGTTTGGACTACTATTTTTGTTTGTTTTTTTGTAATTCTTATGAGGGAAAGTGAGAAATTGGAGAGGTCGAACCCTCACATAAGGGAGACCGTTTCTCTAAATATTGAACAATAACACAATAACCACAAAAAATAGCAAAACCCCTAATCCAAATATTTTCGGCGTGGTTTGGTGATCTCTTTTCGGTTAACTTGGTTGAACTCTTTATGTGCGCATCAATATCCACCACCTGGAAGATTATATACAGTTAAAAATTAATATCAATCAGGTAACAAAATTCACAACAAAATGGTCAAAGTATTTTCTTTTTTTTATATTCATTTTTTGCAAAATTGGGAACTATTAATATATACCAATAAATCTACTAATAATTATATTTTTAGAGTAAGGTGCTGGAATACATATCATGAAAATCAGGTAAGGAAAGGTGCTGGAATACATATCATGAAAACCAGGTAAGGACTTAAATTTTTTTATCTAAAATTTGGTTACCTTTTTTCTTTTGTTTTCTTATTCTCTATTATTTTTTTCTTTTTAACTCTTCTCAACTCCTCTTGTCTATCTTTGTGGGAATTCTTTAATTCTCTTCTCGTCCTTTGTGTGAGGTAAGGAGAACCTTTTCCCTCTAGATGACTTAGGTCTAGGCAAGAATTTATAATTTCACGATGAGCTTCTCTAGTTTTATCTTATCATTCTTGAGTGTTTTATGTTTATATTATGAAATAACATGTGGATGAAGCAAGGTTCAAATTTTCTGGTTGGTAGCTTCGAAATGCAATGCAATTTCCTATGATTATTCTCCGGTTATTAGATCTGATGCTTGGTTGTTTTCGTCAGAGTTTTGGGATGATTTTCGAGTTTGTTTATTTGATAATATAGGTTTTGAAGTGTCTTGCGATTAATTTACATTGATGTATTTTCTCTTTTCTGAATAATTAATGAAATTCTAGGCAATTTTCAAATCATGGTCACAACGAGGCTAACTATGATAGATGCACATGAACACATCTGTACTGTGAAGGATACATTTCAGGACAATCGTGAAATGTATGATACATTTCTGATGGTCATGAAGGACTTCAGAACTACTAGGTATACTCTATGTGTTAACGATTTGATTATCCTCTTAAGTTTGTTCCATTTCAGTCCACATAATAACTACTCTTATGATTAGTGACAGTCTTGCCATAGCAAAGGTTAAAGACCTCTTCAAGGGACACCGTGAGCTGATTTTGGGTTTCAATAAATTCATGCCAGAAGATTACAAAATAACATTCGAGAGTGACGAACAACATGAAAAACCTCCAGTAAAATTTGTAGAAGCTATTCATTTTGTAAAGGAGGTCAAGGTAAGGACACTCTTCCATTGTAGAAAACGGGGATGGACAATTGGATTAACAATTTGATTTGATTTATTTATTTATTCTATCAAGCTTTTGAAATTAAAACCAAATAGCCCAATTTTGTATTCTAGTCCTACTATATTGTTTTTTTTCTTTTTTGCCATTTTGCTCTTAAATATCGTTTATCTGTAGGCAACGTTACAAAACGATCGTGCTTTCGGGTCTTTCTTGGAGATAATGCAAATGTTTCGTCAAAACAAGAAGAGTGCTGATGAGGTCTACCATGAGGTAATATATATGTGTGTGTAAACTTATATTTTTTTCAGCTTTCTCTTATTTAGTTTAATGATTACATACATTAATATATATGCAGGTGTGTGATGGCCTTTTCCGAGACCAACCTGAGTTACGTGTGGAATTTGCTTACTTTCTCCCTCGTCGTGAAATGGGGTGGAAGTGCAATTTGAATAAACTGGGATAATAAGTTATGTATGCAATAAAGCCATGTTGTAACTTGTAATCACTAGTTTGTTGTTGAACTAGTACAACTGGTAACTATTTATGTTTATGCAACTCATTACAGCTAATTTTTTTATCTTTTGAACTGCATATTATGGACAACATAAAATTTATTTTTGTTTGTCGACAACTAATTTCTTTTTGGTGCAACAACAACGTACACCTTATTTTCAATTTTCTAATACAATTGTGCTCAACACACAAAGTCCATTACCAAAAAATGGATTCGTCTACAATCTAGTTAAATATATAATAATTATTCGTATGTTAGATAAAAAATCAAAAAAAAATATAGTTTCAATGTCTAAAAAGTTATTGTATTTGAGTTTTTTCTTTTATTTCATATATAAATGTATTTGCGAATTCTCATGTATGAGTTGATGTGTAATACTTCATGAATATTGTCCTAAATATCTTGTTTTTTTTTTAAATAGTTGGATGCTGTCACAAAAATGTTTAAAATAGTCGAATCTTTCTTAATATACGATATAATGTTTTGGTTCTTTTTTAATATTTGTTAAATTTATTTAAATCCGGAAAACCATTTTACAACTTGTGCAACTGTTTTTGATTATATCTAAAATATATTAAAGAAGAAACATTCATTTTTGCTTAGGTATCATCATCACATTAATTCTTAGTTTTTTTAATTGGAAGAATTACTTAAAATGCTCTAAAAGTTGGATTTTTCTAAATGTATAGACATTTTATTGTATGTTTGGCAAAACAAATCCAAATGGATAGTGAAATTATAGTTCAGTCATTTATGGCTAAACAAAAAATATCTGCCACAATTATTGTTGTATCCTTGAGACGTCTACTTATGGAGTCTAATACTATAGACTGCTAAAGAAGTCCACTGGTATAGACTGCCAAATAAGTTTACTCTGTAATTACTTTTAAAATTATAAATATAAAAATTATTAAAAAAATTGTTAAAAAATTATATATATATATATATATATAACTAAAACATAGACAATTGGCATCTATATACAATAAAATTTCATGAAAATAAATCAATTTATAAATTTCATAAATATAAGGTTCAAAACGGTTAAGGTTTAAGGTTCAAAAGGGTTAGAGTTTGCCCCAGGACTGTCTTCCTAAAGGTATTCTCTCTGAAAATTCTCTTTTTGGATTCGGCTCTGTTCATAAATTATCCTCCATTAGGGTTCGTTTACCTCTTTATGAGGCTTTGTTTACCTCTGTGTGAGGATTGGTTATATCTCATAGATCTCTCATTTGTGGAGTTTTCAGAAGTGACGGTAGTCCTCAAAAACTTTGTATGTTATTTTCTTTGGCTTAGTATACTAACCCACAGTCAAGTTTCCTCCTTTCTGGAGATGCCGGACCTTTCTTCTTCCTCTTTAGATGGGAAAAGTTATTTTGCCGCATTTGCGATATGTAAGAGTTTTGGTCATGTTGAGGATAAAATCTATGTCCTTATCCAATGTCCTTTTGATGGATGATGTTGGGACCTTATCTCTCGGTCCAAGCTCAGTGAAAACTCACAAGCATCTCTGCAGTTGTTGCCTCAAGAAGCTATTGTTCTCCCTTTGGCACTCAACGATGCTCTCTCCGCAAGTTTTACTTTGTCCCAAGTGATTTTGGACTCGGATGTCCTAGTTATTGCTCCTGTGTTGAGCACGGATCTGTTCGAGATAGCAGGCTCTCTACATGATGTACAAAGCCTTGTTATACTCTTCTCTTCCATCTATGTTTATGTTTTCTCTTATTTCGGCACTATGTGTTCCAGTTGTTTTAATTTTTGTAATGTTTTCATTTGGATTTCCTCTTTGTATGGACCATCTTTGGATTAGTTGAATGAAAACAAAACCCTTTAACCAAAAAAAGGGTACAAAAATGTAATTGTCAGGGTAAACACATATTTTATATGAATCATGGTTTATGGTTTGGTTAATGATTTCGAGTTCATATATTTGTTATTTTAACAGTTAATTGTTATTATGGTAACAAAATTAATGTTCGATATAAGTTTTAATCAAAAATATTCGATTTAGGGTTTAGGATAAAGAAGAGTTCATTAGAAGACTTTGTGTATAGACTTCAAAAGAAGTCTAAAATTCAAATTAAACATAGCAAGAACCAGATCTAACCAGACCAGATTTGTTGGTAATTGAACAATTTCACTGGCTATGTAGACTTCTTTGGAAGACTTTTTTTGTAGACTTCAAAATAAGTCTAAAATTCAAATTAAACCTAGTGGGTATTAGATCTTTTATTTTAACTAAATGGGCGCGAACCTGACTTTCAAAGTAGACTTCTTTCAAAAAGACTTATATTAGACTTCTCCAGTAGACTTCGTTTGTAGACTTCAAAAAGAAATCTGCTTAACCGAAATTTTTTCTGCATATATAAAGAGATTTTAACCTAATTGTGATAAAAATAAGTCTCTGTCTCTCTCTGTCTCTCTCTGTCTCTCTCTCTCTCTCTCTCTCTCTCTCTCTCTCTCTCAAACAATGCCTCTGTCTCCTCTCCCTCCTCTTTGGCCATGAATCTCTTCTCCTTCCCCCCTCGTCGTCAATCTCATCTCCATCCTCTCTATCTCGCCTACCTCCTGTCACTTGCCGGTTATGGCAGTGGTAAACAAATCTGAGCTTATGTGTTCCTCTTTTTGTTTGGTTTGTGTTCATATTACAAATCTGAGCTTATTATTACAGACATAAGGTTATTGTTTTAGATTTGAGTTTATTTTTACAATCTGAGATTATTGTTGTAGAAATTTTGTAGATTTTGTTGCAGATCTGAATTTTGTTGCAGATCAAAGTTTTTCGTTGCTGTTGCAGAGCAGATTTTTGTTGTTTTGTTGTAGACCTGAATTTTGTAAATATAATAGATTTTGTTACAAATCTGAATTTTAACGTTTCTCTTTTCTTATTTTTGCAGATCTGAGCTTATTCATATTTATGGTTTTGTTCTACAGATCTCAACAATGTTCTTGCTTGTCTCCGCCGGATTTAAGTGATTTTAAGATTCAAAACGGTAATTATACGGTACCATTGGTCAGAATCAGACTTCAGTCACAAACTTCAGCCCCATATTTCTTGAGCAGACTTCAGTCGTAAACTTTTCGAGCAAACTAAAGTTTCAGACATCTTTTTCAGACATTTTA